CGCGTGCGCAGCTCAGCTTATCTAGGTGACTTTCTGAGTGATAACAACAGTTAGGTTTACCATTCTAATGCTGTTCGTTAATATATATTACACGAATTTTGTCCATTTTGTACTAGTGTTTATACATAAGCCCGTGAGACATTCCGCGTCCTTTGGAGAGGAAATTTGGGCTTGAGTAAGAAGTCATTGAACTTAGCTTCACCCACGCAGTGTATTCTCTTCCTTCTTACCTCACCCTCCGCTGGCTTTACACCATTCGTTCTTCATCTCCTCCATGCTACCGCTTTGCCACTGCCTTTACTCGCATCTTCTCCTTTATTCCGTGCCTCGCTTGCCATTGCTTCCGTGCCTCCAATCTTTTAATTCTTTTGCTCTTCTCCACTCTCTCGCTGCATACGCTCCTGGCGGTTCTCTCTCTCTCTTCTCTCTTCTCTTCTCGTCTCTCTTCTCTCTCGCTCTCTCTCGTCCCGTCTCTCTCTCTCTCTCTCCTCTCGTCTCTCTCTCTCTCGACGTTCTATTCTTCCCACTCCCCTCTTCTTCTCTTTCTCTCTCTCTCTCTCCTCTCTTTCTCTTTCTCTTTCTCGTTTCTCTTTCTCTCTCTCTCTCTCTCTCTTTCTCTCTTTCTCGGTCTCTCTCTCTCGTCTCTCATCTCTCTCTCTCTCATCTCTTCTCTCTCTCTCTGCTCTCTCTCTCTCTCCCTCTCTGTCTCTCTCTCTCTCTCTCCCTCTCCTCTCTCTCTCCTCCTCTCTCTCTGCGTTGCTCCCTCTCCTTCGTCTCTCTCCCTCTCTCTCTCTCTCTCTTCCTCTCTCCTTCTCGCTCTCTCTCTCTCTCTCTCTCTCTCCTCTGCTACTCTCTCTCTCTCTCTCTCCTCTCTCTCTCTCCTCTCGTCTCTCTCCTCTTCTCTCTTCTCTTCTCTCTCGCTGCTCTCTCTCTCTTCTCTCTCTCTCTCGGTCTCTTCATTCTCTCTGCTCTCTCTCTCTCTCTCTCTCTCTCTCTCTCTCTCTCTCTTCTCTCCTCTCTCTCTCGTCCTCTCTCTCTTCTCCTCTCCCTCTCTTCTCTCTCGCTCTTCGGTCCTTCGTCTCTCTCTCTCTCTCTGCTCTCTCTCTCCTCTCTCTCTCTCTCTCTCTCTCTTCTCTCTCTTCTCTTCTCTCTCTCTCTTCCTCCCTCTCTTCTCTCTCTCTCCTCTTCTCTCTTCTCTCCTCTCTCATTCTCTCTCGTACTCTCATCTCGTCTCTCCTTCTCTCTCTCTCTCTCCTCTCTCTCTTGCGCCTGTCGCGTCTCTCTCGTCTCCTCTCTCTCTCTCTCTCTCTCTCTCTCTCTCTCTTCTCTCTCTCTCTCTCTCTTCTCTCTGCTCTCTCTCGTCTCTTCTCTCTCTCTTCTCTCTTCTCTCTCTCTCTCATTCCTCTCTCCTCTCTCCTGCTCTCTCTACTCTCTCTCTCGTCTCTCTCTCTCTTCGTCTCTCTCTCTCTCTCTCGTCTCTCTTCTCTCTCTCTTCTTCTCTCTCCGCCTCTACCACTCACTTCTCCCTCTTTGTTAATGATTTGCTAGTTGCAAACCTAGCTTTAGCTACCCGAGCACCAATTTCCCCTACACCCAAGAGCCAAGAAAAGATCACACACACAGGAAGATCGACGAAGAGAACTTTGTCGCTGTGCAGACAGCACGATTCTGATGCTCGCTGCAATTAAGCGGCGATTCAGGCTCCCGATCAACATTAGGGATTGGAAATAGCGGCACAACGTTATTTCAACCTATCTCAGTTCCAGTGGAGCCTCCCATCGTTGCGGATCATTCAGGACTTCCGCCCTTCCTCACAATACACACCGATGGGCGGAGTAAATTTGCTTTACGATTCAAAATGTACACGATGCCAAATATGTTTAATTTCTTATTACTATTAGTACCACTACCACAAACATTGTCATTAATATTACTTGATGTTCATTTTTTGTTGTTATTTTTTTGTCATTAACCTTGTAGCAGAACTAGAAATACTATTTTAGTTAGGCCAAGAGACTGAATTCACTGAGGGACCCTTTAATGGTATTGTGAAAATGGGGATTAAATGCAAACCAGTTAGCTCTTTGTATGTAAGCCACACCAATGTTTTTAAAATTAGTTCTGTAGTATGTGTAACCACGCAGCCACATCTTTTGTAAATGATAGTTTAGCACATTGTTGTGAACTGGTTGCCACAATGATGTGGTGTGCTGTTTCAATGCCATGGGGATGCCAGCCTCTTCACCAATAGGCATGACATATTAAGGTTTTCCATTTTCTGATGCACATCCTCAGGATTACAAAATGTTTTTTTTATACTTCTATCGACTTTCTTATGACCTACACCATGTCGTGCCGCGTACAGTGGCTGAATTACCTTACCTGTGGATGCATCCTTGTTATAGCTTAGAGTTTTGGAGCCATCGAATTACGGATTGCATTATTGCAACAGTTTTAATTAGCGGGTAATAGGCAATATATGTCATTGATACATACTCATATTTGCTGAACCCAAGTAAATTCAACTATTCAAATTACAATTCATTCACAATCTCAAATTCAACTTCAATTATTCAAATTCAAATTTTAATTAATTCAAAATAATCAAATTTCAAACATGAATTATCATAGGTACTCATTTTGTGGTAGGCATATACTGGCAAGCCAACTCACCACTATCTTCCATTGCTGCGCTTACTATTTAGCAGTGTTTCCCCTGCATTGACACGAGCAAGAGGCGCCATGCAGAAATTCATCAGCCACTGCCACACAGAAATTTGTCCAAAACACTGCGCTCATTGACGAAAATGCTCATTACAATGTGTGCAAAACGGAATAGCTTAGAAGCCTGCACCAAATTCACCATTTTTTTTCAAAATTTAATTAATTCCGGGGGGCACTGCCCCCCAGACCCCCGCCCCCCCAGCTGGGCGCTTTGCTAGGACCTCGAAACTCGCAAACACACCAAAAAAAATTACCACCTCACAGACCTTTTTGGCCAGGGGAAACACTGCTAATGGATATACTGATCAAGTTCCAGAAATGCCACAAACAGCCTATTACGAATGCGGGCAATCAAGTAGTTACAGAAAATATAATAGTTAATACGATACATACGATAATATTAATAATAGACCATTAGTAAAGGCCTACCATGAAAATATGAATTCAGCAACATAGTGCTGCTCAAAGATTGAGGCAGTACCTGTCCTGCTGTAGTCAACCTAGCCCTAGTACTAGTAGTAGTACTATATAGCCCACGTACAGTTGCCGCATGCCTGCGCCAACTGTATGCGGGCTATAGTACTATAGAGCTATAGTCAACCCTATTGTTGACATGTACATCTACTGTTGAAAGAGACACCGGTCTATAAACCTCGTGTTTGCCCCTTTTCCTTTCCTGACTTTTTTGCCTTGACAGCAGTACTGCCGCTAGCCTACCGTACTACTAGACCAATAAATTGTGCCCCAGATCTTTATAATCTGGCGTTATTCTAGCTAGTACTAGTAGTAGTACTAGTAGCAGCACTAGCCACTAGACACTAGTAGTAGTAGTAGTAGTAGTAGTAGTAGTAGTACTAGTAATAGTACTCACTAGTAGTAGTAGTAGATACAATAATGTAACCCAAACACAGGATAGGGTCCCACCTATCCTATCCCGGGTATCCCCCTACCCTGCCCTAACACACCCCCTATCCTGTGTGTGGGTTACATTATTGTATCTAGTAGTAGTAGTAGTAGTAGTAGTAGTAGTACTAGTACTAGTAGTAACGCAGAATACACAGTGTACATCTAACCCGGCCAGGCTGTGTGACTGACGTCAATATACAGCCTGACATCCATCCATTGGAAAATCTTGTACCTCTACAAAAACTATTCTAACCCTAGCAATGACGTTTCTTGGAGCTAGTGTACCGTACATCTAGAATTGATACACTGGTAAACGTACACACCACACAGCCACAGGCTCCGTGACCACATTACTAATTCCTAAATTGTTTTCATAGTTATTGAATCACCACTGTCCACGTACTGTATAAACTGTGTTTTCACGGTAACATTATCCGTTCCAACACGAAGTCACAGAGATACTCAGATAGAGTTGTGTTCATGCTCACAGTCGAAGCTCTATTAATAGCGGGTATAAGAGTCGAGTGTACCGCAAAATCTAACTTACCAATCTCATCAGTCGCATATGCCAGCTTGAAAATTGCAAAATTAGAAAGTAAAATGGTTAAATAACACGAACACAAATAACAGTATCCTATTCGAACAGCTTCCATCGCCTTCACTAATCACAGGCCCCGTTCACAGTGTACAGTCTACAACCACAACCATATATTCTGTGCCAGGCTCTGCCACCGCCAGTCGGTTCGTATGCTAGCGCCGCCTAGCCGCTATCGCTAAAAATGTCTACACTGGGACGCCATTGCTGGGTCATGTCACGTGCGCGAATATGATAAGTGGGTACATGTCATCAAATCGCCGCGAGTCGTTGAATGACTGCTGTCTGTCGTAAATATCAGATGCAGGTAAGTAAGGTAGTAGTACTAGTACTAGTACGCGTTGAATCAATTTATCTGAATTTTAACCTCACAAACACGCCCGCGAAATATACAACCTCATTGGCATTTGTTTCAGGTTACATAGAATGATAGATATGGCCAGTATGAGAGTCGAGGCCGCCAAGTAAAAAGTAACGGTGGTACTGGTAGTGGTAGTACTGTACTTGCTCAGTTCCTGGTAGGACACTGACAGTAGTCTTTTGTTATACATTTCGCGTTAATTGATCGTTATTTTATTATTGAAACGTTCCAAGTGCATGGGATTGTGAAAATTGAATGAGTCGCCAGACGGGGACATCCACACTGACATTATTGTGATCAATCTGGGACATTTGCGTCCCTAATTTGACTGTGATGTGAATGGGACACAGTGATGATTATTACTAGTAGTAGTATTAGTATTACTTAGTAAATATTATCACATCAGGCCCCTCCCTACGTTGCGCAAACCGGGCGCGCCCGCCCCGTTTGGGAAAACTCCCCCCACGTTTCAATCGTTGCACCCCGTTTAAATTACCTCTGCCCCGATTAAATTCGACCACAATAAAAGTTTGACGGTGCAGGAATCGATCGTCAAGAATTCCCATTCGACCAGTCCCCCCCACGCGTGTATTTTTACGGTACCACTAATGCGTAAACGTCCTACACTACGCATGAACTGCAGACCACACACAAGTACAAACAGTCACCCTGTCCCTAACACTAACTGTAAACAGACTCGGCTATCTTATATACAAGTACCCCAAATACCGTCTATGGTGTGGTGGCGATTTTACGCATTATTCCTGATGTGTCATTATATTTCTCTATCTCTCTCTTTCTCTCTCTCTCTCTCTCTCTCTCTCTCTCTCTCTCTCTCTCTCGCTCTCTCTCCCTCTTTCTAAAATTTTCTTGAACTATTATTGAGCTGTGGAAAAATGACAGGTTAATTGATAGTGAACACAGTAAGTAATACATATATATTATTTGAATCACTATAATGACAACTTCTGAGCACAGTTAGCATTTAAAGTTATTACAACACTGTCTTCAATTTTAACACATTCCTTGCAGTTGTGTCTGCAAAGGCAAGAATCAGCTAACTGACAGCTCTAACTTCAATCAACAGCTAGGAGCACCGACCGCCGCCGTAGCACAACAGCCACGGGCATATTTACCAAATACGCTATCACATCTTTCAACCCAAACAAGCACAGCAGCTGTACATCCTGTGGCTGGGAAGCTGCGGCCGAGCTCCCATTTCACGCTGGCTTGCTAATGTGTGGCATACGCGCGTGTGAGCGCACCCACGCGCGTGAGCGTACCCACGCGCGGTCACACATAGATACACGGCAGAAATAGATACGTTCGAGCAGGTCCAGTAGAAAATCATCATTCAGTTGTGGTAGCCTATATATATATATACAACTAAGAGCAGGCATGAAGAAAGATCTTCACGACTGCTTCTTGGGTATAACTCTCCCAACGGAGTGATGGACTTATTACTAGTCGTGACAGATCACGAAGGATTGGCTTTCCAAATTGGTGCAAAACCACTGAAAATGAAACTGTGGGAAAAACTGTACAGCTGCCGCAGTGACCTCACAGTAGATGCCATTTCATTATTCACGTGGCAGAGCTTATCTAGGTACTTCTGATGTAACCAACAGTAGGTTTACCATCTAATGCGTTCGTAAATATATCTACACGAATTTTGTCCATTTGTACAGTGTATACATAGCCCTGAGACATTCTTTGGGAGAAATTGGCTGAGTAAGAAGTCATTGAACTTAGCTTCACCCAGATGTATCTCCTCCTCTACCTCCTCCCTCTTACACCATCTTCTTCCATCCTCCTCCATGCTCCGCTGCCTTTACTGCATCTTCTCCCTTTTCCTGCTCCTGCTTCCCCTCCCCATCTTTTAATCTTGCTCTTCTCCACTCTCTCGCCCCCTCTCTCAAAGGATGGGAAACTAAGGGGTCCGGGCCGATGTTTTTTACCCATAATGCGTAAAATCAGCCACCGACAGCCCATAGACGGTATTTTGGTACTTGTATATAAAGATAGCCGAGTCTGTTACAGTTATGTAGGACAGGGACTGTTTGTACTTGTGTGTGGTCTGCAGTTCTGCGTAGTGTAGGACGTTTCACGCATAGTGTACCGTGAAAAAATCACCGTGGCGGGGGACTGGTCGAATGGGAATTCTTGACGATCGATTCTGCACCGCAAGCTTTTATTGCCGGTCAAATTAATCGGGGCAGAGGTAATTTAAACGGCTGCAACGATTGAAATGGGGGGGATGTTTCCCAAACGGGCGGGCGCGCGCTGTTGCGCAACGTAGGGAGGGCCTGAATTGATCAATATTACTAAAGTAAAACTAAATACTACTATAATAATCATCACGTGCCCATTCAATCATCAGTC